AAAAAATAGAAGGAATCTCACCTAAGCCACAATTCCTTCGACAAACAAATGTCGTAAACGTTATAAAGATAATCCATTTCGAGCGGATTTGGCGGCGATTTGTTAACCGCCAACCACAAGATTGTACTCTGCGTCAGGTTTAAGATAACTTTTTTAGACAAATTCTTCTCGTACATAATGGTGTACTCCGACACGTAACCAGATTCCAAGAGAGATTCCAGATCCGAGACGATGTTCTCATTGTGATCTTTCAAATCGCCATTGCCCAGGACGATAAAAGCAAGAGGCATGGATACCAGTTTGTGCCTGGACAACACGGTTCTCATCAAACGTTTGGCGACAAACTGATAGTTTTCGGACGCGTCGGCGATAAAAAAAAGCGCGTCCGCGCCGATCAAATGACGTTCGCTGATGAAACCTTCGAAGTGTCTCAAGCAAATAAACAAAGTCTCGTAACAGTTGGGTCGATGAACCTTGAGAATAGGATCCATGGTAAAGTCGTCGGGATAAAGGTATTGGTTCATCGTTTTTTTATAATGCCACAAAATTGGTCTGTTGGCCAGATCTGGCCAAGAGATCGCGAGTTTCCAGAATATCTTGGGCAGAAAATTAATATCCAACAGTCGTAGATTCTCTTTGATACCGGCGTAAACAATGATCTCAATTGGCGCCAATTTTTCATCGCCAATCGTCGTTGTTGCGTCGTTCTCAATCTTGATTCGTTTTCGTCGCATATTTCTTATCACCAATTCCTGTTCTTTGGAATACAACATACGCGCGCATTCCTCCACAGATTGTTTCTGCAAATAAACAGGCGTGTCTTCCAACGCTTTTCTCTGTCGTTTCTTTCTCGACACGTATCGCTTCCAAGCGTTGAAACATTTGCCGATCTTTTTGTTCAGAATTCTCAAAGCAATCGCTTGCAATTGTTGATGCTTAATTTCGCCGCTCAATTCCACGTCGCACATTTCGAAAGTAACTTCGTCGATCATGTCGGATAGAATTTTTCTGCTCAACGTGTCGTACATTTCTATCTTGTCGATGCTCTCCTTCGCGATGGCGGAGCAAAATTCACGCACAACCTCCGCGTGCAGGCTGTTGTAGATCTCTCTGGTCTTCTCCTCGATTTGTTGCATTCTTTTAGCCTGTTCCAACTTCTCCAGTTCTTTCGATCTGATCGATTCTTTATGTTTGTTCGTTTTTGACGTTACGTCCTTTTGTTGTTCCTTGGAAAAAACGGTTCGTTGTTCCTTCGTCATTTTACTTGAAGTATTTGTATTGTTCGATGATGACTGTTGATTGGAAACTGGCAAGGTTGGGTAGTGTCTAGTTAAAAAGATAAAAGTTAAGTTAAAAAGTTAAAAAGTTAAATAATTTTAACTTTATCTTAGTTACATTTTTAGACTCTTATCTTTTAACTTTATTTAGTTATATCTTATCGGTAACTATAGTAACTTTTTATTTCAACTCTCTTGAATCTACTNTAGCCATAAGATTTTTTATTTGTTTGCATAAAAAACGGAACATATTTCGTCGTATGATCGTAATTAATTTTACATGTTTATAGGCCGAAAAATTCGACCGATCACAAAGCTCAAGAATGATTCGTTTTATATGCGAATAAATTCGTACGTGTTCGAGAATTGAGCCAATAAAAGCTGGTCGTAAAATCCAACGCAATATAATTTATAATAAAATATACAAAGTATATTTCTAAATAAAGTGTACATTAATTTTTTCCATTATATGTAAGATTAAAAACACTGCAAATGTTTGTAATTATTTGTAAGACTAAAACACTAAAAAATCATAAAAAAAAATTTAACTTTTAACTTGTTAATTATTTTTTTTTATTAACTTAA